TAATTTGTGAAGCATTGTGACATAAATAAATTCTTACTTCAGTAGTGTGAGGAGAAATATTTAATTGTGAAAAAGGTGAGGGAAAATTCTTCAGTTGAAAGTGAAAAAAATAAATTATAAACATAATTATTTTACTTCTGAAGATCCTTGTGATAATGGGGACTTCACCGTTCTTGTTGGACTTTCAAGCTCAGAGTTAACTGAGATATCTGTCAACAACATAAATGTATATGAAAAACAACACAAAATTTATTAACTACCGTGAGCTTCACTGTCATCTTCTGATACTGTAACAAATGATTGAAATTAAGTTAATGGGATTTGAGTCAAAGTAAATGATCTTTGACTAGCTTGTTCACTACCCTGGGAGCATTCCTTAGAAGAAGTGGCAGAATGGTCATGCTCTTGAAGGACTCCGACAATTTCTAATGCAATGTATTTGTTAAATTAAAATAGTAATTAATATCAAATTTGTAGTTTAAGAGAAAAAACATACTCTTCTTTTTTTGTGTTTGCTATGCCTCTACATCAGACTGTTCCTCAACATCAGATTCACTAGGAACATTCTTAGCAGTTAATGGCTTTTCTCCTATGATTAAATTAATAACAATAATATTACTTTCATTTGGGCAATCTTGCTAAACAAAGGGGAAACTATATTTTTGGCAAACTTAGCAAACTTGACTGGATCAATTGTTAAGCATAATTCGGTTAAAGCAGGATTTCATACTTACTATGTGTTCCACATATTGAAACTTCATAACAAGCTCCTTTACACTTCCATATAAGATGATTACCATAGAACAAATCTCTTTCAGTGACTTTTTCTCCCAATTCTGTTTCTAAATAATTTGACTTCACATGATACTCTTTCTTGATAGAACCATCAGTCTTCATCAGTTCAACAGTGCACCAAACTATTAATAGTATCATAATAGCTGCTTGTTATAAATATTGATATACATTAATGTTGTTTCAGTTACAAAAGACTTTTATAGCTAGTGATACTGTGTTATGGAACTTTACATATTGATTTTAGTTCGTTTTAGTTAGTTGTGCTTCAATAAAAATACTTTTAGTTATGTTCATTCAAAACTTCAAAATATCTTTAGTAAGTTATAGTTATAGTTTAAGAAAGATTTATATAGTTAGTTATAATTAGCTAACTAAAAGTAGTAGTTTCAGTTATAAGCCCCATTTACACATAAACCAGTTTACTTGCAGACAATTTCAAGTACCCCGTTTACACTAGCCCAGAAGTTATTTAAACTACTTAAGCTACTTAGTAAAGTAACTGGTTAAAGTTGTGTTTACACTAAACAAACAAAACTATAGTCTATTCACTTTCACCTGACCTATTGATTATTTGTTATAACTTTTGATAAACATGGAATTTAGAAATTTTGTTTGCACCATTAGAATCGCTAGGTCCTTCCCGTCCTTTAGATAAAAAGATCGGGTCTAAATGATAAGGCCTTAGCCTTTTTTAGATGTCCCTGTATAAACTCAATGACATACCTTTGACCGCAAATATGCAGCTAGAACAGCCAGAATAAATTCAGCTGCTACTTATCTGCATCCCTTCCGCGCAAGAAAAACAATTCCAAAACCACAAATACGTAAAGAATGCGGATGTGACGTAGTTATTTATTAATTGAAAAAAGCCAGGGGTCAGGTGAAAGTGAATAGACTTTAGGTAGATAAGATAAAAGAGCGGGTGGTTTTAAGGGTGTGGTTTCAGTACAAGCAACAATTATGGTGAATCCAGCTGTTCTGTTAGTTCAATACTTGTTTTACTTGTATACAAAAAGAAGCAGCTATCAACTGAGGCTACAGAAGTTTCAAGAAGCTCAAAGAAGACAAAGCATTATTTTTCATGCTGTATTACTTTTTGTCGTCGCTACATGATTAAAAGGAGCATATGGGTGAGAGCACGAAGTGGAGATTGGTGGAACAGTATTGTTAGATGTACATTCAATGATGATGATTGGAGAGAAAATTTTAGAGTTAGTAAGTCAACATTTGCAGTTCTGTGTAACTGTCTGAGGAATGATATTGCCAAAAGTAATACTAAACTTAGGAAAAGCTATTCCAACTGAGAAAAGAGTTGCTATTACACTCTGGAAACTGGCAACCAATTGTGAATATAGAACAATTGGGCATCTATTTGGAGTTGCTCATGAAACAGTATGTGTGATAGTGAATGATGTCTGTAAAGCTATCGTCAAAAATTTATTTTCCAAATATATTAGGCTGCCTAAAGGTGAAAGGCTTTCTGACATAGTTAAAATTTTGAAAAAAAGTGGGGCTATCCACAATGTTTTGGGGCAATTGACGGAACACATTTACCCATTATTGCACCAAGTGAATGTGCAAAAGATTACTATAATAGGAAAGGTTTTCATTCTATCCTGATGCAAGGGCTTGTTGACTGTAATTATTGTTTTACTGATATTGGCTGGCCGGGATCAGTTCATGATGCCAGAGTCTTAAGCCATTCAAAGTTGTTTACCTTAGGTCAAACTGGACAATTGGTCCCAAAAAATCAAAGCCGAGTGATACATAATGTTGTTGTACCATTACATATTGTTGCTGATCCTGCTTATCCATTGTTGACTTGGGTAATGAAGCCATTTAGTGACAATGGAAAGCTTT